TTTTCAAGTCTGGCCTTTTCATCACGCTTGCCATCACAACCATATCAAAAACCCCGTCCCTTTGAACTCTCCTCGTGATTTTTTCTACCACATTGCGCTTTCTAGTAATACTCAATCCATAGACCCCAAGTATGACAATATTTGGTTGTGTGAGAGCCGTCATAATTTGATTCGAAATTGAGATCATGAATTCAGTGAACGCAGGACCATTGGCAGATTTTGCAAACATTTTAATTTTAGGATTACCATTTTCCACGCCTTTGCGGAAAATGTTGGGTACCAGAGGGAAAATAAAAACTGCAACAGCGGAAGCACACACAACAATAGAAACAAATTAAAGAAACAAACTCAAAAATTAACGTGGTTCGGCACTTCTTGCCTACATCCACAAACAAATTTTTACTAGCAATTTTTACAAGGACAAAATTGCAAAACCTCTCACACAAGTTTTCTGGAAAAACTTGGAAACCTTACACTTGCACACAACTACCCAAGTTCCCAATACACTCAAAGGAACCTATGTTGTTGTGGTGAGTAAACACAAACCCTCACCCTTTATTTATAGTAGTACTCTACCACTACCCTTCTTCAAACTACCCAATGTGGGACTTTGGAAGGTACCCACACACTTTGGCACAACACAAACTACTCAATGTGGGACTTTGGAGGATACCCACACACTTTGGCACAACACAAACTACTCAATGTGGGACTTTGGAGGATACCCACACACTTTGGGCACAACATTCCTCCCTTCATCCAAGGTCTCACATTAATCCATCATCATAACAGGCCACACTTACAGAAGGAGTACTCTTCTTCTTCTCCTTCATACATTTCAAGTCCTCCTTGAATTCTGGACATTTGAATTGAATGTGACCAAACTCTCCACAGTAATGACACTGAATATTACTCATATCTTTCGGCTGGAATCTTCTACCATGTTGATCACCATACTTCTTTCCTCGCTCGCCTTTAGCTAGCAGTATCTGACTGTCTCCAGAGGATTTATCACCACCCATCATTTGTTGATTCTCCTTCAACGCCCTTATCACCTCATCTAGTAGCAATGTACTCTTCCCAGCTAGCAATGATTGCACTAGTGATTTATAAGATTTGGGTAGAGAAGCCAATATCAACAATGCTTGCTCTTCATCTTTGATAGTCTCCCCTGCATTCATCAGTCTAGATACCAGTTCATTAAACTTATTAATGTGATCAAACACATTACCTTCATCTTCCATCTTCAGCGAGTACAGATCCATTTTCATCATCAATCGATTGGTCAACGTCGTCGATGCAAACTTGCCTTCCAACAAATTCCACAACTTCCTTGGAGAGGTTTCTTTCAACACAGTCACTTTGATTTGTGGAGCTAGTGCCAATCGAATTGTGCTCACTGCCTTTTTCTGGATTGTACTCCATTCTGAATCTTTCATCTCACATGGCTTTTCTTCTTCTAAGGCACAATCAAGACCCTGCTGTACTAAATAGTCCTGGATTGTGCATTGCCATAAGGAGAAGTCTATCCTCCCATCAAACAAAGGAACATCTAACTTCATCGTAGTCATAGCACCGTTCTGCTCTGGCCCACGTACTGCTTCTTTTCCTCCCTGGTACTCTGCTTCTCTTCCTCCCTTGAGCAAAACCTCAATTCTTTTTTGATGTGGAAGATCAGACAATGCTGCAACCACAGAGCATACTAAGAATTAAGAATTCCCCAGAGACCTACCATCGAGCCGGTCTCCCGATCAGACCATCAGCTCTGATACCACTGTTGGGTACCAGAGGGAAAATAAAAACTGCAACAGCGGAAGCACACACAACAAGAGAAACAAATTAAAGAAACAAACTCAAAAATTAACGTGGTTCGGCACTTCTTGCCTACATCCACAAACAAATTTTTACTAGCAATTTTTACAAGGACAAAATTGCAAAACCTCTCACACAAGTTTTCTGGAAAAACTTGGAAACCTTACACTTGCACACAACTACCCAAGTTCCCAATACACTCAAAGGAACCTATGTTGTTGTGGTGAGTAAACACAAACCCTCACCCTTTATTTATAGTAGTACTCTACCACTACCCTTCTTCAAACTACCCAATGTGGGACTTTGGAAGGTACCCACACACTTTGGCACAACACAAACTACTCAATGTGGGACTTTGGAGGATACCCACACACTTTGGGCACAACATACCTCCCTTCATCCAAGGTCTCACATTAATCCATCATCATAACAGGCCACACTTACAGAAGGAGTACTCTTCTTCTTCTCCTTCATACATTTCAAGTCCTCCTTGAATTCTGGACATTTGAATTGAATGTGACCAAACTCTCCACAGTAATGACACTGAATATTACTCATATCTTTCGGCTGGAATCTTCTACCATGTTGATCACCATACTTCTTTCCTCGCTCGCCTTTAGCTAGCAGTATCTGACTGTCTCCAGAGGATTTATCACCACCCATCATTTGTTGATTCTCCTTCAACGCCCTTATCACCTCATCTAGTAGCAATGTACTCTTCCCAGCTAGCAATGATTGCACTAGTGATTTATAAGATTTGGGTAGAGAAGCCAATATCAACAATGCTTGCTCTTCATCTTTGATAGTCTCCCCTGCATTCATCAGTCTAGATACCAGTTCATTAAACTTATTAATGTGATCAAACACATTACCTTCATCTTCCATCTTCAGCGAGTACAGATCCATTTTCATCATCAATCGATTGGTCAACGTCGTCGATGCAAACTTGCCTTCCAACAAATTCCACAACTTCCTTGGAGAGGTTTCTTTCAACACAGTCACTTTGATTTGTGGAGCTAGTGCCAATCGAATTGTGCTCACTGCCTTTTTCTGGATTGTACTCCATTCTGAATCTTTCATCTCACATGGCTTTTCTTCTTCTAAGGCACAATCAAGACCCTGCTGTACTAAATAGTCCTGGATTGTGCATTGCCATAAGGAGAAGTCTATCCTCCCATCAAACAAAGGAACATCTAACTTCATCGTAGTCATAGCACCGTTCTGCTCTGGCCCACGTACTGCTTCTTTTCCTCCCTGGTACTCTGCTTCTCTTCCTCCCTTGAGCAAAACCTCAATTCTTTTTTGATGTGGAAGATCAGACAATGCTGCAACCACAGAGCATACTAAGAATTAAGAATTCCCCAGAGACCTACCATCGAGCCGGTCTCCCGATCAGACCATCAGCTCTGATACCAATGTTGGGTACCAGAGGGAAAATAAAAACTGCAACAGCGGAAGCACACACAACAATAGAAACAAATTAAAGAAACAAACTCAAAAATTAACGTGGTTCGGCACTTCTTGCCTACATCCACAAACAAATTTTTACTAGCAATTTTTACAAGGACAAAATTGCAAAACCTCTCACACAAGTTTTCTGGAAAAACTTGGAAACCTTACACTTGCACACAACTACCCAAGTTCCCAATACACTCAAAGGAACCTATGTTGTTGTGGTGAGTAAACACAAACCCTCACCCTTTATTTATAGTAGTACTCTACCACTACCCTTCTTCAAACTACCCAATGTGGGACTTTGGAAGGTACCCACACACTTTGGCACAACACAAACTACTCAATGTGGGACTTTGGAGGATACCCACACACTTTGGCACAACACAAACTACTCAATGTGGGATTTTGGAGGATACCCACACACTTTGGGCACAACAGAAAAAGGCAAGACATAGCAGCCCCAGAAGAAGGTGAGCCAAGGCAAGAATTGCGTATTCCTCAGTCTTTAGGGATGTGGAAACAACAGCTCCCATTTTTCTGATGTTCCTAGTCTTCTTGTTTTCTTGTGAAACCGAAAACTTCAGATGCTGGAACAGAAGTAAATGAAAGTGAAAACTTGAGGGAGTGGAAATGAAGGTGAGAATGCATGGTAGATACAAAGAAAAGAAAAGGCTTATAAAGACGAGGGAAGTTGGCATGCATTAATGAACCTTGGCTACACCACATTGTTAGGAAGTATCTGAATGACTCTGTCGTTGACTCGTGAAGCTTCCAGTCAATGAGCCAATTTGAAAACCGGATCTTTGGACCAGTTCAATGAGTTGTAAGGTATTAAAGGCAATTAATTCCTTCACACAACTTATTATAGTAATTTTTTTAAAACTATCATTATATTATTTTTTTCTTTTAATTAAAATTTCTCTTTCTCTTAACTAAATAGAGTATATATCCTAAATTATTTCTTCTTTTTTTTTCGTCCATAAAGTATTCACCGCCGATAGCAGTGATTAATCTCCTTGCTACGTTGGAGGCACCTCAAAGGGTGAGATATTAAAATGTATGTCTTTTAATTATTTCTCTTTATTACTTAAAATTATTCTTTATTAAATTTTCTTTAATTAAAATGTATATCTTTTAAAGAATTTACAATTAATATCTTTTACTAAATAAATAGAATATATTTTAATTTAAAAATAATTAATATATTAAATAATTATTTTAAATTAAATCTTTTTTTTAGGGATTTTAAATTAAATCTTATAAATAGTTAGAATAGTATTATTTTGAAATGCTACATATGATAAGTGTAATAAGTGATTTGGAACACATGATAAGTGCAATATAATAATAGTGTGGATTTAGGATGAATTTGAATCTTCTCCTTCTCGACTCTAACCTTTTGAGATAGGTTTGGGTGCAAGTTTAAGAAAAGCAAATTAAATTTAAGTACATATTTACTCATACAGAAAAAAAAATTATCATCGATAATGTTCTTCAATCATAATTAAATTTTTATCTTAATAATTAACGTTTATATTTGATAAAATATCTATTACTTATATTATCGAAGTTAAATTTTCAATGTTAATTAGATAACAAAAATAACTGTACGAACTAGTATATATAAAAACTTAAAATAAAATATTTTTAATTATAAGAATTAAAAAGTAAATTTATGAACTATAAAAACTATAAAAAAAATATTTGAATCATTAAATAAAGTAAAAATGTAGTTTTAAATTAATTTAAATACAAATATTCCTTTTTTTCCTTTTGCAACAAAACATGCGAGCAACATGGAAATGGATGCTGTTCAACAGTCAACAGAAGATAGTAGCTGCTGCTGCTGCAAGCAGAGCGACGCCAACGGACATGAAGGTTGTCCCATGAGTTCTAAAAAAAGTGGCGGCACCAGAGCTGTCCTTAGCTGACTGAGCCTGATCATCATCTTCCGCTGAAGAGTTATCCTTATCAGCCTTAGGTGCCTTGGCAACAGCCGGAGCAGGAGCTATAGCCTTAGGCTTAGAGAAGTCCAAAGGAATAAGCACCTTATCAACATGATATATGGAAAGTGTCTTATCAGTGTATACAATGCCAGTGAGTGTGGCATTCACCACCCCAGTTGATATGTTCACACTGGTACCATATGCTGTCACATTTATCTGATACCCTGTGGGGCTGTCACTAGCCAGTGTCAGCACAGGATTGCTGAGAGAATCAAAGTTGGAGCTGGAGACATAAGCGGGAAGAACATGAAACTGTATAAGTGCTTTTTGTTGCCTATCTCCCAAGGAGTTGAAGTACCCTGCTTTCAGTTCTGAGAAGGCACCATCATCTGGTGCAAGAATAGTTAGGCCTCCGTTTTTTGAGGTCACAAGCTGAGCGTTCACTTGGTTGATGATTTGGGTGGTTTTCAGCAACCGGATTAGTGTGTTGAATGACTTGGCCTTCCTCAGGATCTTGACGATGTCTTGGCTGCCAGAAGAATCAGGACCTGACAATGGTGAATTGGGCAATGCTGGGACCAATGGTTTTGTAGGCGCCGGAGCCGGTGTGGTGGGGGCAGGTTTTGTAGGTGCAGGTTTCGCTGGGGCTTTAGGGGCAGCAGCTGGTGACTCAGCTAAAGTGGTTATTGAGAAAATGGGAGCAAGTAGTAGGAGCGAGAAGAAGAGAGTTTGCTTCATCTTCTTGTTGCTGTAGATTAATTTGCTTCTAAATTGCTAATGAGTTGGAAATTGTTAATGCAAAGAATGTTTTGATGTGTGGAAAGTGGATTGGGGGATGGTGCTTATATAGATGCCAAGTGAATGGTAATTAGGTACAAGGTTTAGTTATAAAATAACTTTTAATTGTATGTTCTGGGGGATATCTTTTCTCCATCTTTTAGGTGGTATATCAAGGCAGGTAAAGTTGATTGAGAAGTGGATTTGGCTGCTGTATGGTTTGGCTTTTTGCTTGGAAATGCAGGGAAAATTGAATGAGAAGTGAGATCTCATGATAAAAATGCACACTAGTGCAGAAAAAGGAAGCACCCTCTATTATCATTCAGGTAAGCAGATGTGAAATCAAATCAATCACAATTAAGCAAGTTGTAGTAACTGTTCGAGCCTTATTTTTTTATCATTGGGAAAACTAATAAATGCCTCATTTCTTTCCGTAGAACAATTAAACATAAGAGAAGTCAGTCTATTTTTTGCAGTCTGGCAGATAAGCAAACCAAATCGAAGCCAGGTTCTTTAATCATAATATTCTATTATGGCTTATATATTTTATTCTATCTTTACAATCCATCATAATATGGTTTTATGTGCTTCAAGGGTAGATAAAAGGAAAGATTGTTTTGGTTTCAATTAAATAGAACGAGGGAAAAATTGCTGCTATTCACGGGGCGAAGATCTAAGACTAGTGGTTAAAAAAGAGCCTGTAAACAATTTGATCCTCTCCTTATTATTTCCTCTAAGCTAACAATTCTTTAGCCTGCGGTCATCTGAAGACTCAAACGGATATTTCTACTTGAGTATTCATTTGGCTGGATAACACCTCTTGACTGTGAGACACTAACAAAATTTTACAACTCTTGTGATCATTTACAAACGGTATTCCTATCCTAACTAAGTTGATTCCTTCCGAATGATCATCTAAGATGATAAGGATCTTGTCCTTCATCTTTATCCTCTCACACAAACGTCTAGCTCTTCCCTCTAGAGTTGTTTTATGACTAAGTTGCAGACCTAGCATGTTCCCAAGTTTCCCTTTAATTCTTCTCAAGTATGGCTTTTTCTTCACCCTTGCCATAACAACCACATCAAACAGCTTGTCCCTCGTGATTTTCTCCACCAAGTTTCCCTTTCTTGCATTACTCGATCCGTACACCCTATTATGGTAATACTTGGTTGTGTTAGAGCCATCATAATTTGATCCAAAATTGAGGTCACGGATTCAAAGATCTCACGACCATTGACGGATAATCCTTGATAATTAATCAATAACATTCTTGCCTTTTGTGATACTCGTTCTTGATCTTGTTCACTATGCATTTGGAGAAATAGGTGAGCCATAACAGCCAGGCAAGTATTGAGTATTCCCCAAACTTTATAGCATTGGAAACCATAGCTCCCATTTTTTCTTTGAATTCCTTGGCCTTCTTGTTTTCTTGTGAAACTGAAAGCAATCGTGATAGGTTTTTTATAGAATTGAAGTGCTTGGTTCTCTCCCTACTTGGTTTAGGGTGGAAATGAAGGTTGAAGTACGAGTCTAGAACCAAAGAAGAAGCTTAAAAGCAATAAAGATAAGAGTGAAATTGCCATGAAATGACCCTTTACCTGAGCAGAACAACAATGGTAGGAAGTATCTGAATGACTAAATATTGTTGACACGTGATTGAATAATAATACTTAATTCCTTATTTTGTTGTACACTGATTTAAGGACGTGCTCTTCTAAAAGTTTAGTGAACTGAACTAATTTTAAATGGCTTTTGTATTTGATAAAAGAAAATTATAAGTGTTATAACTAACTAAATTTTAAAATAAAATTATATATTCACAAATCACTTCACTTTAAAACTAGTTTTAATCAAAACCAATTTCATTCAAAATTGAATTTTTAAATGCTCACCAAAATACAAACAGATATGTTAACAACTCTTCAACACTGCAGAGTTCTAAAGACTCGTGCATATATTCATTTGGGGGACATTCTTTTGGTTAGACAAAACCTCTTGACTCTCAGCTACTAACACAATTTTACAACCATCGTGATCATTTCCAAAAGGAATTCCTATCTTACTCAAGTCAATTTCACCCCAAAGACCATAGAGGATGATAAGGATCTTGCCCTTCATCTTTATCCAATCACGCAATTGGCTAGCTCTTTTCTTTAGAGTTTGCTGTTGGAGTCGCAAGCCCAACATGTTCCCAAGTTCATCTTGAATTCTTCTCAGGTCTGGTGATTTGGTCGACCAAGAAGACCAACATGTATTCTTTATCTCCACGGTTGCCATGACAACCACATCAAACACCCCATTCCTCTGAACTCTCCTTGTGATATTATCCACCACTTTGATCATTCTTGCATCACTTGACCCATACATTCCAAGTATGATAACATTCGGTTGTGTCAGAGCCGTAATGACTTCATTAACAATTGTGGTCGTGGGTTCAGAGGCCTCGCGACCATTCACTTGCATGCTGCTATACGAACTGAAAGGTATTTTTGAAATTAGAACGGTTTCATACGATGTAGTTATCAATATTTTATTTATGTATAGGTCGGTATTTTTTAAAAAAATGGAACCGATTCATTTCGTAAAAATGGATGAGATAACTGAATAGATTTTGTAAAATGGAGAGGTTCTAATGTTTTTCAATACGGATGGAATTGGTTGGGATCGACCTGGGTACTTTGCACGGTCTTACTTGTGGAGGCTCTTCACATTCGTCCATTATTATTTTCTGCGAAAGATGAGACGTAGCTGTGAGGCAATGGAAACAATACATCCTATTTTTCTTTTTTACCATATTCCCTCGCATGGTATCAGAAACAAATCCATTAGGAAAACAGAACAGTAAATTAAAGTTTTAAGGTTACCTTTAGTGCACACGTCGATGGAATGTCATGTTTTTCTGGCTTCACTTCCTGCTTGCTTTGGAGTGGAGTGGAGTGGAAACCAAGGTTTAAATAGGAGAGAGGAAAAAACAAGGAAAAGGCTTAAAAACAATAATAATAAAAAATAATAATAATAATAATAATTAATAAATAAATAAAAGTGAGTGCAGTTGCCACGAAATGTCCCTCTGCCGGCACACGAAAATTTTACATAAATAATATTTTTTAAAAGAAAAAATACAAAAATAACACCTGTGCAAGTTTATTTACCAGAGTAGAACGATTTACTGTTCATGGTCAGAATTTGGTTCCCCGGGAACCGAATTCTGACCTTCAATATTTTTTTTTCTTTTTTTTTTCTCAGAATTCGGGTTTTATATATATATATATTTTTTGCGCATTTGGGTACAGACTGGGCAAATTTTGTAAGTGGAACGGCTCGTTCCGAAAGCAGAACGGGTCGTTCTGTATAGTTTTTTTATTATTTTTTTATCTCTGTTTAGATAAAAATAAAATAAACTTTTTTTATAGTCCCTCTTTAATTTCTTTTATCTTGTTTTCCATTACCATCCACACAAAATATTAATAAGACTTGAATAATTTTCATTAGTAACGACCATGAACTTTCATTTTTTAGTATACAGAATCATGTGATGGATTTATAATGAAGAAAGATTGGATTAAAGATAATGGTGCCATATATTAATTTCGTTAATAATGTGATCATCATTCTACAAAAAGGGTGAAATCACTTTAGTAATTAAAAATAAGATAGCATGATTACATTGTGGGCGTGGCCCGTGTGCATCAGACCTCTTAAGTTTAGGTGGGGCAGTTAGAACTTTCGGTTCTGCTGGATAAATACTACCTTTAACTTATTTATTAAACATGGCTATAATTTGTTTTTCCCAACCTAATTAAGTGTTAACATCATTTTTTAAACTCAGATCACCATTGGCGTAACTAAGTAAAATTTATTCTTACAGCATTAATGGTATAAATTTTACTTATACCATTAATGGCGTAAGTAAAATGTTATTAAATATTCAACAATGTTATACCCTATGATCTATATACTCAAATTAATATCAAACATATGATCGTATATTAATGCTTAATATAAAGGTTGCTAATCTCCAAAAAATTAGCAATCCTATATGCAATCGAAAACGTGCTTTGTTTTCCTAACATTCAAGTATGAAAATTGATTAAATAAACTGTAAAACTAATAAACTTGTGTTTCTTGTGTGCAATGAGATCGCGAGGATCTCATACATACAAGTAGGAGTGGGCAAAAAAAACTAAACTGAGCTGAACTGAACTGAACTGGTGGTGAACTGTACTATAAAAAACTGAACTGTTTGTAAAAAAAACTGAACTGAACTGTTTAAAAAAAACTGAACTGAACTGAACTGTTGTAAAGTTGAACTGTACTGAACTATAAAAACTGAACTGAATTATAAAAATTGAACTATTTTTATAAAAGAATAAAAATTAAATGTGTTTAACATGTTATGTCTTAATAGATTAGCTCGATAGTCTAATAACCAAAATTTTAGAAAAAAAGTGATTTGAAAAAAAATTGTATCAATTTTGTTGAACTTAACGGATCAATTGAGCTATGTTGAACTACTTATTTTTAGGCTTAAAATTCACTGAGTTTGTTTGACTTAATTTTATATTTTTTTCCTTTGAAAAATTTAAATAAAATGGAAAATAAAGTAAAGTTGACAAATGTGTCCTATTTTGATAGATCAATGAGTCAAAATTGTTCAATTCAAAATATCATAACAGTTTAGTGCAGTTTAAATTGCAGTTCAGTTCAAGTTTTTATAGTATAGTTCAGTTCAGTTCAATGACACAAAAGAATAGTTCAGTTCAGTTCGTCTGAACTAATATTTAGTTTAGTTCAGTTCATATGAATTACTTTTAAGTTCAGTATAGTTTTTATAAGTTCAGTTCAGTTCAGTTCGTTTTGCCCACCCCTACATACAAGCAACCATTTTTAACATAAGTTCAGTTAAAGAAGGAATAATATGGCTGACTTTTAGTATGCTAATTAATAATTAATATGAATAGGAAAGGGTCCGAGGGGAAGTCAAACTTTAGGGGTGGGCAAAAAAAACTAAACTGAGCTGAACTGAACTGAACTGGTGGTGAACTGTACTATAAAAAACTGAACTGTTTGTAAAAAAAACTGAACTGAACTGTTTAAAAAAAACTGAACTGAACTGAACTGTTGTAAAGTTGAACTGTACTGAACTATAAAAACTGAACTGAATTATAAAAATTGAACTATTTTTATAAAAGAATAAAAATTAAATATGTTTAACATGTTATGTCTTAATAGATTAGCTCGATAGTCTAATAACCAAAATTTTAGAAAAAAAGTGATTTGAAAAAAAATTATATCAATTTTGTGAACTTAACGGATCAATTGAGTTATGTTGAACTACTTATTTTTAGGCTTAAAATTCACCGAGTTTGTTTGACTTAATTTTATATTTTTTTCCTTCGAAAAATTTAAATAAAATAGAAAATAAAGTAAAGTTGACAAATGTGTCCTATTTTGATAGATCAATGAGTTAAAATTGTTCAATTTAAAATATCATAACAGTTTAGTACAGTTTAAATTGCAGTTCAGTTCAAGTTTTTATAGTATAGTTCAGTTCAGTTCAATGACACAAAAGAATAGTTCAGTTCAGTTCGTCTGAACTAATATTTAGTTTAGTTCAGTTCATATGAATTACTTTTAAGTTCAGTATAGTTTTTATAAGTTCAGTTCAGTTCAGTTCGTTTTGCCCACCCCTACATACAAGCAACCATTTTTAACATAAGTTCAGTTAAAGAAGGAATAATATGGCTGACTTTATATAATATTTATCTTTTCTGTATTTTCTTTATATTTTTTATTTGTTTTTCCTATGTATTTTATTTTTTTAATTGGTGGCGCCACTTTTTACTGTTTACCCAGAACGGGTCGTTCCAAAACCAGAACGGCCCGTTCCAAACAAATTTTTAATTCCTAAAGACGTGTTCTGGAATGGGTCGTTCCAAGGCCGTTCCAGATTCAAAAAAACGTTAAAAGTTCTATTTGGGAACGGCTCGTTCTTAGCCCGTTTTCATTTCAAAAAAATAACTTTATGTCTTTACGTAGAACGACCCGTTCTGCTTTCGGAACGGACCGTTCCACTTACAAAATTTGCCCAGTCTGGACCTAAACGCGCAAAAAAAAAATATAAAAACAACTCACAATTCGGTTCCCCAGGAACCGAATTCTGAGAAGAAAAAAAAGAAAAAAAAATATTGAAGGTCAGAATTCAGTTCCCGGGGAACTGAATTCTGACCATGAACAGTAAACCATTCTACTCTGGTAAATAAACTTGCACAGGTGTCATTTTTATATTTTTTTCTATTAAAAAAATACTATTTATGTAAAATTTTCGCCGGCACACACCATTGCTACTTTTTAGGAAATATCTAAATGACTTTGTTATACTCGTCTAAAAGTAAATACGTTTTGCCCTTTTTTGTTTTTTAAGGTTAAATTTTACCCTTTTCAATTTGCTACATTCTTTTACAAGTGTAGTAATTATTTAATTCAATGGTATGCGACCATTACTTCTGGTTTTCGTAAATTCGGGACAACTGAACGAGTTCTTCAAATTATAATAAAGAATTAATAAAACTCCATTACTGTTAGATGAAAATTATAAATCATACAATATTTTTTGTTTAAATTAGGCTTCAACAATTTATCATTCTTCTTCCATAAATCGGAAATGAAGGTTGAAGCAGGAGAGATGAAGAAACAAAGACAAGACTCAAAACCAATAAAGAAATGAGTGAAAAGACTAGAAAGTATCTGCTGCTAGGAGGTATTGTTGTTGACTCATTCTATAATTTTTTGTGCCACTCATTCTAACACCTCCTTTTCAAATTATTGGACAAAATATCTTTTTACTGCATTAAGAAGTTGAGAATTAGGAACCGACTTCTCAATATTATTTTTTATTTTTAATTTATAATATATTTTTAATATAATAAATATATTTTTAAAATACAAATTAAAATAAAATATATTATTATATTAATTAGATTATTTAAATATATAATATCTTTTAAAAAATATTAAAAATAAGTATTTAATTTTTTATTTAGATAAATTTTTTAAGATTATTATAAAAGTTAATTTTTGTGTAATTTTATTAATGTGTATGATATTTTAATGAATAAAGTATAATGTTATTAAAAATATTTAAAACATAAATTAAATTTAAAGGATAAAATAAATTTAAATATTATAAATAGCAAAAAGAAAATACATGATTTTTTTTGAATTTTTATTATCCAAACAAAAAATATATAAAAAAACATATACTATAATTGTTGAAGTTGTAGACATTTTTTTTAGTGTCCAACAGTTTTACAATAACCACATCTTTTGAGTTGACTCTTTTCTCTGAGATACATCTCAGTGTGTATTGATGAAGATTTTCGCAATCTCTCCACTTGGCAAGCGGACCAAGTTTCGATGTAGTATTTAAGTATCGTCCTCAAGGATTTGAGAATTTAGTAATTCTTACTCTAATGATTAATATAGAGATGTTGATATGATTGGAAGTGAGCTAATGTGAGGCAAAATTAAAACGGTAATGTAAAAGTTATAAGAACAATTATATAAAACAAGGATTGGACCCTAGAGCACTTGCTAACTCCTAAATTTCATTAAAATAAATATGATTTCATCTTCATGACTTCCACGTTCATTTAGTAATTCAACAAGATCCCTCAAAATTGAATCCTAAAGTAATTAATCTAAAACATGATTCCTCTATGTTTTATGATTAACACTTTGCATTAAGAACAATGACTTGAACAAGGTGACTAAACAAATCAAGTCTATTCCTAGAGCAAGAGATGTTTAGGTGCAAGATTCAGTTCGGGTTTTCAAAAACGTTTTCCAACCGGATTCAAAAACCAAAAATCATACAACGGGTGATCAAGCCGATATAAGCATTAAGAGAAGAATCAAACACAAGTAATGAAAATGAAATGCATATATATATTTAAGAAGAAGAAGAGTTAGTAGTTACATCTAGACCAATCCTCAAAGATTTAGCCCCTCATGGCCATTTACAAGATCAAAGGAGTGGAAGAAGAAATTACAAAGGAAGAGATGAAGAAAA